GTTGACTAATGTTTATATATATATAATTATAAAAGTTTGAAAGTAAAGATAAACATGGTAAATGTTAATAAAACGGTTACTTTGTCAACATTGTGTGATATATTTTTATTATGTCAGAGTTTCAAGAATGACTACTCATGCTCTACTCAATAACAACAATTGTGTTAATGACCTAGATTCATCAGGAGTGTTGATCAAATATCTCGAGGAGATATAACTTTTATATACTTGGTTTTGATTTTCAAATACGAATGTCGGACAGTTGTACTTACGATGGGAAGTGAAAATCGTCATTCGTTTTTTGAACGGGTATCTCATACTGTCAAACAATCCTCACAAACCTTCTTAAACAGGTGAGAGGAGAAGAACAACTGTATGACTCACTCTCAAACCGTCGATATCAGGAGTAAGAAACTTTATAACACTCTTCACTTTACTCATGAGTGTCGTAAAACCCAAAATATCATATTGAGTTTTAGGTTAGTATCTCAAACAGCAAAGCAAAAATGCACTTTGAAGTAAATTTCGCCAATATTCAATTTAAAAAATATTGAGAAATTTTATAAATCTCAGCAGAGGAAATTTAAATGCTCCAAATGAGACTAAATTTTATGTACCCAAACCTTGACAAAAAAGCCTTTTTTTGTTTTAATTGACCCCCAAACCCTAATTTCAGTTTTTAGTCTGTTGGTCATGACCTGAAAATGAGAGGGTTCGTTAATCATTAGTGAGTTTCACATGCGTTTCAATCTTTATATGTAGGATTGAGTTTTAAGGGTCTGTGCAGGGTAGCCTGAGTTCGGGTCCGACCGAACTATCGAACCCGAACGGGCAAATGTTATACAAAAAAATAAACAAAATAATGCCTTGAGATCACATCGAAATTCCTTACCAAATTTACATTCGGTCCGACAAAAGGTCCCGAGTCACTCTGATAGCCTATAAATTTTATTTTTATTTTATCATGGATCACATGCTACTTGATTGATTGACTAATTACCTAGGCTACCAGCAGGGCCGCCCGTGTCCCGGGTGGCCAGCCCGTGCAAGGACCTGGGAAGGCCCCCCCCCCCCCAAAAAAAAAAAACCTTTAAAAATCCGAAAAAAAACTATGTTATGGAGAAAAATGAACTAAACAACTTTTGCCTCATCATCACATAAAAAACCTTCACCAAATTTTGAATAAAAAATAAATTTTAAAAATAATATATATATATATATATATATATTTGGCCCTGCCCGGCAAGTGACACCTGACCACTCTGGTAGCCTAGCCGACTAATTGATTATTTAATAAATAAAAAAACTTTACATCTGCGTAGCATGGCGAACATGTCCGTTCCCCTTCACGTTCACCCGTTCGCTCGAACTGCTCATGAATATGTTTAGGCGAACTTTTTTTTTCGTAAAAAAAAAGTTAAAAAAATAAAAATTCAATTTTTTATTTTTAACTCATGATTGGCTACGAATTTGAACATGACTTCTAGGCAAAAGTTCCTTGTAATGTTATTTTACATAACATATAGATATGCATATTTTTAAATATTTTTTATATTCTCGTTCGGAGGGTTTTGGGCGCTTGTTCGTGTTCGCCTCCGAACGAAAACACAGTGCTACGTAGCTTTACACCTTAGTGTGTATGCAACTTTTTGGGGGGGGGGCGAAACTACGCTTGAGTTACAAAAATGAGTTATAATTGCACTATGGGTCAATATAGTTTCGAATCACAGTTTGGACAATATGTATAAAACCCAACCTTTTGGGCAGATATAGTGCCCGAACTTCATTTGCAAACTGTATTTTGGGTCATACTGCAATTATAACTATTTTTTGTGACTATACTGAAGTTATTATTATATATTATTTGTTTTTTTTTTCTCTCTTAATCTCTCTCTTTTTCCCTTTCTTCCTCTCTTACACACGCACACATTCTTTTCTTACACACACACGAACACACACATATATACACACACACACACACACACACACACATATACACACGTACACATATACACACACATATATATATACACACTACCAGAAAAATAAATAAACATATTAAAAAGGTTTAAACCACTAATACTTTTTCGAGTGAGAAAATAGTGGGTCTCGGATGAACCTCTGACTCTGTAGGAGGTTGCAAAAAAATGTCACGTGTCGCTGAGATTTATCAAAGGCGGCCATTGCCAGTCCCGACCTCCGAATTCTTTGGGAACAACCCGTTTTCCTTTATTTTCCAATACTAGCAGAGATAATGGTGCTTTAAAAGGGGGGGGGGGAGGAGGAGGAAAAAAAAAGAAGTGAGTGGGCAAGTATATTTCAATATTGTCATATTTCATAATTTTTTTTTTTTTTTTCGATCAACCAAATGCCCTGAAAATTTATAGGCAGGTATCCTACATGTTTCTAAAGAAAAATAAAAATATTTATGCACCAAAATGACTTTTGAAGATGACGAAACTTTGAGAAGTTCACCCTCTTACTTTCGGTCAGACACTTAAACGTTTCAGGGAGGGGCGACCCCCCCCTCTGCACTTTCGGGCGGATGACCCTGAGTGTGGGTATATTTATATCCATTACATAGTTTGAGTCAAGTACTTACGGAAAAAATCATAAATTTATGTTTAATGTGAAAACCAAATAGTAATTTATGATGAAGATACTCAACTTAAAATTTTAATGTAATAAATAATGATCCGTCATGAATCATCGTAAAACATTCTATATGTTTTTCAGCATATTGCAGTGACAATGCAGTGACTTGAGTTAATTCATCGTTGATGTCACACATGGCCTGATAGATCGACAAGGATACGTCCAGTCTAGAATGATAATAACATTTTTGGTGAACTACATTGTACCTCGTGCAATCTCTATTATGTCAGAAAATTCGTGAAAGGTATGTCTGACGCACTCCGTTGGAGTGATACTGACTTCTCATATAAAATTAATTATCTTACTTATCTTCTATAATGTAATTGAAAAACTCTTTCTGCATGCCTCGTTTCACACTTGTACTAAAGTAATCGATGATATCACATGTGGTCTCGTTGTTTGTTGTGTAAAATACAATCAATAAGACACAATGATTTTTCTAATTAAAAAATATCATTATCTTTATGAAAATATTTTTATAAAGTTATGAATCTATAAATAATAATTTTTATGTAGTGCAACAAATGTAAGTTGACCAATAACGTTAATTAGTCGCTATATTATAAAATATATGTGTTAAAATGACAATTAAACTTGTCATTCATTTACAACTTAGAGTGTCGATCTTTTAAAGTAAATCACATGAATGTTTAACTAAGTTGGTAAATGTTAAAATTTAAATATAGACATTTATTAAAAAAACATGTTATAAGCAAAATCTACTATAAAACTTTTGCAATATTTTGAAGAAGCACAACCGTAATACTTCAAACATTGAAACAGAAAATGAAATAACATGAAATACCATGTGAAAGTATAAACGAAGAATGACTCATAAGTTACTGATATGAGTTTTTGCATCATAGTCAATATAAACAAGATTAATTATTTTATTATGTAAAGTATATGGTTACCATCACTGAGATTTGACCGAACTTATTAATCTAAATAACTGAATGTTCAACGACACCTTTCACAATGTTCAAATAAACGTAGTTTTTTTTTTTTTTAATAATGTTTATTGTTGATGAATATGTTTCTCCAATCGATATTTTTTTTTTAAAAAGAAAAATTTTGGTTATCGAATGACTTAAGACTTTTCTTTTTTTTCACGGACCATGTGTGTGTATGTATCTATATGCATTTGTGGGTATTGCACGTGCTTGCTTATTTGCTTTATTTACTAAATGTTTGATTGAACGACAATGCTCGATTGAATGATTGATTGATTGATTGATTGATTGATTGATTGATTGATGAACTCGTTCATTGATACAAAAAACGAAATGTGAGGGAGACACTTTATTGATTACTTGCGTGTTCTTTTGATTGGTTTTAAGAGAGATCAATAAGTTATCAATAGGAAACAAAAAAAAATATGGTCACTTTAATTGATTGATTATTAAATCGATTGATCAATAACTGAAAATGAAATGCGCCTATACGTATATAGCCACACGTGAGCTTACATGTGTATGCGTGTGTGTGTGTGTGTGTGCGTATGTATGTACACGTGTGTGTTGCCATACCCATTGTACACAACTAAAAAATAATATTGTTGCATCAAAGTGTTAGGTAATACTTTTACTGCGTTTCCAACCTCACGCATCGTGCACGAAGTGTGAGCAACATACCCTAGTCAAAGTATACTCACACTACCTAGTGCAACCGATCTAATCCTGCTATTCTGTAGGGATGAACATGCTACCGATTGTTGTTGGAGCAAATACCTGTAGAGCATAGTCACACTAGTCTCTTATAGTCGCAAAATCGCAAATTCGAAAATCTGATTAAGTCCTCGTTTAAAAAGGATGAGATCTAGCCGCTGATTTTGCAATTTTGCGAGTGTAAGGGACTAGTGTGACTATACGCTAAGGGTATTTGCTCCGACAGCGGCCGGTATCATGTTCATCCCCACAGAATGGCAAGACGAGCGCAGTTGGTAGTTGGTACAACCTTGAGTTACTGTTGAAATGCAGACAAAATTTCGAATCCAGCAATTTGAAGTGTAGGACACCGAGTCGCACAGCCCGCAACCCTATCTGTGCTTAGTGAGCATGGATTCCGGACATCCGTCCGTAGGTACGGATTCAGCCTGCTGGAACCGGCCAGTACTTCCGGACATCCGTTAAAATTGGAACGATACAGAGAAGATTAGCATGGCCCCTGCGCAAGGATAAAAAAAAGAAAAAAAAGAACCTGCTGAAGCCCTGGACTGTCCGCCCATCCGTACGTCGTTTGTAGACCCTCCCTGTAGCCGCCCGTCTCATGTTGTACTGCCGTAGGGGACAAAAAAATAACGTGCTATCCCTGACTGACCTGTTGGCCTTAGCCGTGCTTAGCGATGCCGTGCCAGAGGTCCTGTCAGCCGTGGCTGGGCGGGGCCTCTCCCATATTGTAGTGCACGACGATCTGGACCGGCCCTAAGTCCCTGATGACGATGCCTGGAAATTTGCCCTTGTTCCCCAGGTCGGAACCGAGCTGGCCGGGCTGCCTGCTTTCGCTACGCTCGTAGTCAAAGTAGGGAGCAACGGCCATTGAAGCTCTCTTTCGGTCGGTGGGCGTGCAAGCGAAAGCGCTCGGCAACGAAGTGACTGTACCCCTTGACGAGCAGCGCCATGGCTGCGTCACGCCCGCTTGTCACTGTCTATTCCTCGGAGGGAGAGAAAACCAGCGAGCAGGTTCCTCTCCCCCATGTCTTCGTCACTCCCATCCGTCCTGACATTGTGCACTTCGTCCACTACAACTTGGCCAAGAACAAGCGTACTCCTTACGCTGTGAGCAAGAAGGCCGGTCATCAGACCTCTGCGGAATCATGGGGAACCGGGCGTGCCGTCTCTCGTATTCCCCGTGTGCCAGGTGGAGGCACGCACAGGGCCGGACAGGGAGCGTTCGGAAACATGTGTCGAGGTGGAAGGATGTTCGCACCGACGAAGATTTGGAGGAGATGGCACAGAAAGGTTAACCTAAACCAGAAGAGGTATGCGGTTTGCTCCGCTCTCGCTGCCTCTGCCCTGCCCGCGCTTATCTTGGCACGCGGCCACATCATCGACGAGGTTCCCGAGGTTCCTCTTATCGTCTCCGATGATGCGGAGGGTCTGGAGAAGACATCTCAGGCGGTGAAACTCCTGAAGAAAATCGGCGCCTATGCTGATGTCGAGAAGGCGAAAGCCAGCCGCAAGATTAGGGCTGGTAAGGGCAAGATGCGTAATCGTCGCTATGTGAACAGGAAGGGACCGCTGATTGTGTACGGATCTGAAGGTTCCAAGATCGCTCTTGCTTTCCGCAATCTGACGGGTGTTGATACATTGAACGTGACTCGTCTGAACCTGCTCAAGCTGGCGCCGGGATCTCATCTTGGGCGCTTCATCATCTGGACGAAGAGCGCCTTCGAGAAGCTTGATGCTCTCTACGGCACGCGGGATAAGCCGTCGGAGATGAAGAAGAACTACGTGCCTCCTCGCTCGATGATGGCGAATTCGGATCTGGCTCGCCTGATCAACTCCGACGAAATCCAGAGCATCGTCAAGCCCATCAAGCGGGACGTGAAGAGGCGTGTGCTGAAGAAGAACCCGCTGAAGAACATCGGAATGATGATGAAACTGAACCCGTACGCGCGTACGGCGAGGAGGGTGAGATTGCTCGATCTGGAGAGGAAGAAGGCAGCCAAGGCGGCGGGCAAGGTGTACAAATCGATGGAAGAGAAGGAGTTCAGCAAGTTGGCCTCCACAGGAGCGACGAAGAAAGAGATCCAGAAGGCGGGAAAGAGGTATTACAGGCAGATGGTTTCAGACAGCGATTACCTGGAGCACGAAAGTTTCTCGAAATGGCTGGGCATGTCGCAGTGAGCCAGGGGCATGGAGGAGCGCAGTGCGTGCGAGGTATTGGAGGAACTGAGTGAAGAAAAAGCGTGCTCAACTATGAGGTTTCATTTTCTGGGTGAAAGGTATGAAGCGTCGAATGGCATGCCATGATGGCGGTTGGAAACAGTCGACTGAGAAGCAGTGTGTGAACAGCATTGCCGACAATTTTGAGGTCATTAAAGGTATTGCTGGAGGAGGAGAGTTGTCATGACGTGGTGTGGTTTCTTTGGCAGGTGTGTTTTTACGAGACGTCAGGTGTGGCTGTCGTATGATGGGGAGTGCAGGCAGAAGGCGATTGAGAACAGGGTAGAGGAATACGGGGGTGAGATACGGACAGCAGGGCGAGAGAGAGAGAGAGAGAGAGAGAGAGAGAGAGAGAGAGAGAGAGAGAGAGAGAGAGAGAGAGAGAGAGATGTTGGACCTGTCTGGGTTTTGCTTGGAAGGGTGGAAATTGGTAGTCGGGATGCGAGAGAAATTTGCGGCCGGGTTTAGGGTGGGCGGAGAATCAGGATGCGTTAGGTGGGGTCTCTTAAGGGGCTGTGAGTGCGGCAGAGGAAGTCGGCTTTTCTTGAAAGGGCCATTTTTGTCGAGGTCAGGAAGGGCGAGAGAGCGCGATTATTTGGGGATTTATTTACTGAACTGATGCTCAGGCGTGGCTGCTGTCGAGTAAAAGATCCGTTTCCTACACGACTCTCTGCGGTGATGGTGTTCTTGTGTGATTGTATGGGCTTAATGCCAATCATATGGACAAATCGAAATGTGTTTTTATGTTCTAACGAGTAGAGCGTCGTCATCGCATGTAAATGTTGTGTTGTGGTGTTGTGCTGTTCGTTAACTCTTTGTTCTTTTCTGTGATTGCATTGTATTCATTTCACATGGACGGACGAGCAAAAACGTTTCTTTGTATGTCGGATGAAATGCCCAAGGAATGATGCTTGTGTGGATGAAATGTGAGTTGCCTCTTGTTCTGCTTGACCCGAATGCAGTGTTATGATTGTGGTTGATGTACATGTTATTTCCGAGATGTGTCTGATCGGCACAAGCTCGGGATGGGAGGATATTGTCGAAGTAGATGGAGGTGCAAGGGAATGACTGCATCAGCTCTGTGGGAGCGAGGTAAGAGAGCTGTGGAGGGATCGTAGGTGAGAGTGCCGTGGCAGCGACAGTGGCCTTTTTAAGGCGAAACGATAATGGGGCCAATCTTTTTAGGGTTCAAACACGCGGGTTAATGTCGGTTGTGGAGGAAGTCGAGAAAGGTAATAATGTTGAGCGTCTGAGGAATTTGGAAGTGGGTAATAGCAGGATAACGGGGGGTGCAGCTCTGTGGGAGCGAGGCAAGAGAGCTGTGGAGGGGGGATCGTAGGTGAGAGTGTCGTGGCAGCGACAGTGGCTCGTTTAAGGCGAAACGAGAATGGGGCGAAACTTTTTAGGGTTCAAACACGCGGGTTAATGTCGGTTGTGGAGAAAGTTGAGAAAGGTAACAATGTTGAGCGTCTGAGGAATTCGGAAGGGGGTTATAGCCGGATAACGGGGGTGCATAGTGAGCTGAGTGTCAGGCCCAGGAGGAAAGGGTGTGGGGATGAGCAAATAGTCTAGAGGCATGCGTGTAAGGTGAGAGCAGACTGATGGGATAGAAAGAAGAAAGGAAGAGGTGCAAGGGAAAGGGTTGGTGTGGAAAGTGTAGGCGTGCACGCGCGGCGGTGCGGGCGGAAGTCTGTCAGTGAAGTAAGAGGTGGGCAGGTATGTGTGGAATGGTGATTGGGTAGTTCTGGGACGGGTATCTGCGGACCGGTGAGCCGTTTGACGCGATGGATCACTTGAGAGAAAGCTACCGGAGTGATTGAGTGTCAGAACACGTAAGACCTAGCAGCTAGAGCGAAGTGAAGACAACCGAGGTCTGTTATCGACGGTATCAGTGGTGGGGAGACGTCGAGAGCTTAGGTAAAAAAACGTTTTTGAAGAAGTTGAGCTAAATGTGAGGAGAAAGGTAGAGTGCGTACATTGAGAGCCGGAAGGTGAAGGCGGATAAGGGAGGACATGGGCGGCGGCGGCGGCGAGCTGGACAGGAGAAAGAATGTGCGGAGGGTTTAAAGGATTTGTAGCTGGATATAATGAAAGGGAGGAAAATAGGATGGGCGAAATTCGAAATTCGATAGAATAATGAGATAGGAAAATAGGATGGGCGAAATTCGATAGAAGAATGAGAGGAGAGGGGAAGAAAAAACATGGAAGGCTCAGAAAAAAGATAGTCTCCGGAACGGGTGAAGCTAAGTGTCTCGGATTTGCATGGAGATCAGTAGTGTATGGAGACGAAGAAAGATTAAATTAGCAAAATATCTCAGAAAAAGAAGGATCGGGGGAAGGATGGGTATATTTAGGGGTTTTGAAACGCTCGTATCTTTAGGTTTTTGGTCTCGAGTCAGTTCTTATCGGTTGTGTCGACATGAGAGTATAATGCTTGCGATTAGGGCTGTTTGGCAGCGGGTAGTAATGAGATTATCTTTGTCCTGTTTTGTCTGTAAATGAGGGATCATCTGCTGTGTTTATGTGATTCGCGCTGCTGGATGGTTTTGCTAGTTGTCTTTTCTGAGCAGCAGCAGGTAGTGTAGGTATTTCACAAACGTTTTACGGGTGTACGTTTTCCGTCGTGCACGTTGGTATATAGCATGCATGTGTAGTCTTCCGGTGGCCGATATCCGTTAGCAGTAGGGATACCGGCGATCTGTAAGTGAAGGGATGGTCCGGGTTGAGAACTGCGCGCTAAGCTATGGAGGACTTGCGTGTGTTTGGTAAACCTCGTGAAAACATTGGTTTAAACCATCTTGATGAATCATATACCTGAAGGGATTGTTCGGGCTATCTTTGTTGGTTTTGAGCTTAGTAGCACTCCCCATTTGCATCGGATTTTGGTTTGAACTGTGAACCATTCTGATTAACTATACCCATGCGCCCACCTTGGCCATGATATCCTTGTCAAGGACCTGAAAATTCCTCGTTTTCCATATATGGGTGAATCAGGACCCCTCCCGTGGACGATCTACCGCACGATTAACCCCAATCACGTGAATATGGATAAACCATTGCAGTACTTCCTGAAGGCGTGCCCGTTAACGCGCCATGATTTTAGGAAACGTACGGGCCACTACAGGAGCGCCCAAATTCATCCAACTAGAAACGTTTCTACTCTATTTTTTTTCCACGGCCGATAACTGGGCCAAGTACTGGTGGTTTAAACCACCACTACCTTTCACACCGGAAGGCGAAGTGTTCAATAATACAAACTATATATGCTTGCGCGGCATTCGTCGGAGGTCGGCGGAGACCGGGCGCTACCGGAGGGACTGAAACGGCAGTGGCGACGCCAGGCAAAACAAAGCACAACAAATCAGGCCGCGCGGGCGCAACCTTCGGCCAAAGCTTGGCGCGCATTACTACTACGCCTTTGCAAGAAGAGGCTGTGGGAAGGATTTTGTGCGCGCGTTTCCTCTTCTTTTTGGTTCTAATATCTGTGTAGTGGCACCACTCGATGGTAATGACACGGGTTACGTGTTTTTTAAAGCACGTTTGAGAGTAGAATTCAGATCGTGATCGTGTGCGTGCGCGTCCCTATGGAGTGCGTTTCTACGTCTGGTCTCTCTTAACCGAGAGCCCCCCCTTATTCAATCAACAACAAAGCGGGGTATGGTATGGGTTATAGAAGGGTGTATATGTAATCAATTATGGGCGTACGGCATCCGTAATGCCTATCGAATGGCACGCGGTCGTCTTGAAACCACCCCAAAACTCAGTAATGTTCCAGGAAGGCGATCATAAAATTTCTCCTGCCACGCAAGCAGTTTCAGTCGAAGACCCTTTTTTGGTTTCTCCTGCCATGTGAGATTTCAGCGTTTTCAATGGAGTGTTTTGCAATGGTGCACAGCTGTGTATTTATTTTTGTGAGCGGCTTGTTGCAGTAATTATTAAGAATCTAATGAGAGCATGTCTACGAAGGGAAGAAGTTGCGCGCGAGGTTGAGGTTGACCCCGTTCATGCTCATTTCGAAGGACTGGCGAAGACATCATTATGATCCTACACCTACTTCAGAGTTTACGCAATATCTTTTTTTTGTACGTATCGGATTGGTGGAGGATAAGGTAAAAAGGGTTGGTAGTAATTTGAATTCTGATTATTTGAATTCTGATTAGAGTAGAATTATGAATTCTGATTCAATCAGTGTAGGGTAATGAATTTATACGGAATTCTGATTATTTGAATTCTGATTATTGAGTAGAATTTTGAATTCTGATTCAATCAGTGTAGGGTAATGAATTTATACGGAGAGGTAAGTGTGAGGTCTTGAAGGAAGTAATGGGGTGTGGTGAGGGACGACTTAGGGTTTCCCTAGAACCGTGAATTGTCTAACTATCATCTTCCAGCCGACCAAATGACTTGTTAGGTTTTCCCTATAACCGCGAATGGTTCTACCGTTTTTCGCCGAACCCAACGCACCCTCGTTATGACCGTATCGGGCCGCAAAAATCGCTCACTTTCTATGCTAATTCCGTTTCGGCGTTAATTTGGTACCGTTGTAGTGTGCTTGATTCTAGAATATATGCTTGAAAAAGTATGGTTTGTTGATCTTCGAATCACGTCAAATCGCAGTAATGGCTTATGACCTGCGCAGAAGTTGAAAATCCTAATTGATAGCGAGCAGTTTTTGCCTACTTCGATGTGCGGGCAGACGTTTCTTTTAAACGACCAGTACTTCCTAAAGCTGTGCCCGTTAACGCTTACGCGATTTTAGGAAACGTACGGGCCACTATTAGAGCGCTCAAATTCATCCAACTAGAAACGTTTCTACTCTAATTTTTTCCGCGGCCGATAGCTGGGCCAAGTAGTGGTGGTTTAAGCTTTTGGACAGCCTGAGCTGCAGGTTTGCCAGGCCAGTATCATGCACATGGAATGCAATTATTAGTTTTTTAGTCTTTTTTGCACAGCTTGCACTTGGTAGTTCATTTAGATTTGTGGTGGTAACCGTGCTCCCCTACTCGAGCGAAGTGTGAATGAGCGAGGCAATCAATCGGACCTGCCACTGTGTGAAATGGGATGATGCTAAGGTAGGATCATGGGAAAAAGAGAACGTCTCAAGTAGGAACCGAGAACAGTAGAAGATGAAACGGAAGTGAGAAAAGTAAAAAGAATGTACATCTCAGAAATTGGCGTTGCTTGCAGAATGTACATCCGAAGGTGTGCATCCATCATCCATACTTCTGGCTTGTCATTTCAGGATCCTCCGTGGTGGCTTGTCATTTCAGGATCTCTTGTGGTAGCTAGCTTGTCGCCATTCTTTATCTACGTTTCTGAATCACCATATCCGTCACCTGAAGCAGAGGTGCGGTTCTTAGCTTTCGGTCTGCGCGGTACGAGTATCAGTGGAAGTCCGGTCTGAGGCAGTAGCGAAGATTGAAAGCCAATTTTTTGAAAAGGCACAGTTGCAGGCTACGGAGCCTTGGAAGGTGGCTTCCTCAACTAAGGCTCGGGAAAACTGGTGGCGTGATTGGGTGTTTGGGTGATTGGTATCTCTCATTGGTGATACTATCGCTCGTCCGATAAACTGGCGGCCCTTGCCGGAGGGACACAATGCCTTTCGATCAGTTCACAGTACAAGACGGTGAAAACTAGAAGCTGTAACGAAAACGTTTTTCATTGTTTTGCTCACCATCTGGTGATTGCTTTATCAATTGAGGCTCTCGTGTGAACTGGTGGGGTGATTGGGTGAAAGCCCTGTACACATTAGCATTGTTTTTTTTCGCATCTGGTGTGAGCTGTTGCTCGTCGACGGTTATGTGTGTGTACTGTTCATTCAGGAACTTGCTCTGATTGCGTTTGGCAATTTGTTGGGCGAATTGACCGCTTGCTGGTAGGAGCTGGTAGGAAAGAGGAGAGTTGTGAATGAATGTAATATGGAGATATGTATAAACCTGTGGATAACCGGGGTGTTAGCATATTGACTATGCCTGCTCCATTTTTTGTGAATCGGCAAGATGGGATCCTACCGTCTTCACTCGAATAGAACGCCTGCGAATAGGCGATGGGATCCTACCGTCTTTACTCGAATAGAACGCTTGCGAATCGGCAATAGGATCCTACCGTCTTCACTTGAAAAGAATGCCTGGTCATAATCACTACGTCTAGACTGGACATTGGGCTGAGTACGGCTGTGATGTACGTGCGCGTTCCATTCGGGTGAAGACTATGGTGAGCGGAAAGTGAGAGGCAAAAGAGATAGGGAGGAATGTGTGTATGCGGCATTGCGGTTGCTCACGCATTGATGTGGTCGTAGTCTCATATCTCTGTGCTAGCAGACGACGTTCCTTGAATTCGGGTAGTCTTTCATGTAGAAAAAGGCACACTGAGATCCTGCTGGCGAAAACTGTTGGACTAAGTATCTGAATCTGGACCTGTTTGTGGAGAGGTGCAAAAAACTGTAATTGATCTTCTTTTCTTCATCCCTGCGTGGAGCATGTCCTGATTCAGACACTTCTCTTTGCCAGTGGGACCTGGCTCTTGGTACACTGATGATCTGTGTTAGTATAGACCCGAGTTCGGATCCAGGTGAGTCACAAACAGTAAAATCCCAAGGCACACTGGTTTATGTTCGTAGACTCGCAACAGGCGGACAGGGCTTTCGATTTTCGATGTCACGGCCGTGGCTATTGATTGACCCGCAGGCTGTCTCAGCCACCTCTAGTGTAGCAGTGGATTTGCTTCTGCACCTTGTGTGATTTTCTCTGCGCTGGATGTAATTATTCTTGCAGATCCGTAAACTCCCCTCCGTAATTCACGGGCTTGATTGTTACTTCGACAGAGCTGCGAATTCGGTTCCTGGGTGGGTGTGGAACGCGATCGCAGTGATCCAATCCATCAGTGTAGTCCTGAACTGATTACATAGCAGTGCAGACCTCGTGGAGTGTGGATCGAGATCCGGGACCTGCCCGTCTAAATCTGTCTGTCGTCTCGTTTGGAAGCGGAGTGCTTTGTTTGCCACCAAGGCATGGATTCAAATCCATCATGAATGACGGGGTTATATCCATTTGTTCTCCAACATGACAATGCTTAGTCAATCTGGTCGTTAGTGTCGGATCGACAACGATTGTCAGTGCTGCTGGGGACACTCCGAATGATTTTGATCATTGCCGAACTGACCGGCCCCAGGCATTTCAGAATGATTTTTCATTCTCTTCGTCTGAAGTTATTTGGATTCGAACTCAAGTCTGTGTCTCAACAGTTCAACAGTTCAGTGGTTTACAGAGTGAGCTAGGACCGTTGATGATTTGGATCCATATTTGATTCTTTCTACCCTACCCCGTCAACGAAGTGTCCCAGCGTTAAGCCGCCAGTACTTGGCCCATATATGGGCCGCGGGCCTTAGTGTTAACGCTATGCCAAGTTCGAGCTTCGGGCAACCGGACCTAGAAGGCTGGCGCCGCCAGCCTTTCCGAAAACAAAAATGGAATTGGCGCTTCGGCGGGAAACGGCGCGCAGGGCACTTCCAGGCTCGACTGCGATATCTGGGCCAAGTACTGGTGGTTTAACCTGACCGTGTAATTTGCAAGGGCACGGCGTCCGTAAATTTGTCATGCTCTCCCATCAGCAAAAAGCATTTTGGTATTTATTTCGCCTATAGGCACTGCGACTACAGTCCACCTACTTAACCGTGTCCTGACTGGTGACTATGGAAAGCAGCCCGCCCCCATTGTGAATGTAGACAGGCACTAAAATTAGCTTTCCAGTTGGA